CTGCATTGAATGCTGAATTTTAATATGGCGATTTGGATGACACTTTATTTTTTGCAGTTCGATTGATGAATGGCTAGATTTTCATCATTGTAGAAGTTGTCTGGAAAGCGGTAAGAATTGTGCGGATAGAAATGAGAGAAGTGAATTGAACCACTCTGTTGAATAGATGTGGCTGAGAATTGCATTGTTCAGCAACGTAAATGTAAAATTGCTCATTCAAAGCTGAGGCTAGTCACTGGCTTATGCAAAGAATATTGAATATTATTTCAATTACTTGGAAATTTCATAAGTTGATATCAGCAAATGAGTTGTTGCGTTGATCGTCCCAAAACGAATATTTCCTAAGATGTGCTTCCAGGTTATTTGCGCAGTACGTTTGGCATGTGGTTCTCAGGATATGTACAATGGACGCACAACATTTGCAGCCACATTATCGACTGATTCGAATGCTCGACCGAGGTTACTCATTCTTGATAGACTTTTGACGTATCACTTAGATCATTTAAAAGTTCACGGGAATATGTAACGTATTCACTGCTCGCAACACGTAACTCGACGTATGCACTTAAGATCAAGATGAAATACTTTGAAATGCTGTCAATGAACACTGCTCGCAAAAGCAAATACCATTCCATGTTGTCACCACACGACGCATGTGTTGCTAGCGCAAGTGCCAAAAACAGAATGAATTGCGTTGGTCAAGCCACGAGACATATAAACAAGTGCCAAAAACAGACATATAAACACCATGCACTGTGATTTCACATCCGCTTGCAGCTTTGGGGCTAATACTCTTCATTCACGATAGTTATAAAGTTTTAACAAATACTATCTTTTAAGCGTTGCAAGTACCTATTCGAACAGACGTTCACTAATGAACATATGGTCGGGTATTCGGCACAAGGACAGGGGATCAGGCAGCGGTAAGTGCACACATCTTATTGATGATCAATATTTATTCAAGATCGATTTGAAAGCTTTCCTTTGAGTTCATCTCTCCATCGGATATATCCGAAAAACCTTTACATTTTCAAGCTGTTTCATCGCAAATAACTGAATTCTTTGATGCATCCGACGGATTCTTACCAGAAAAGTTCATAATCAACGAATCAATTTCTCGATTATCTTTTGATTTGACGGTAAGAAGCGATAGTTTATTCGAAGATGAGGAATCCCAGTCGCTGAGTTGTTAGAAATGGGATTGTGATGCGACATATGGCAAAGTGTGATCGCGATGAGCAAATGCGTGAAAATGTATTTTCTTGAATTTGGCCTTATATAATTCTTACTTAATGATGGGAAGAAGAAAATGAAAGGGAGAAAGGTACCCGTAGAGTGTAATTTGTTGTCTGTTCCCTCGTTTTCATACAACTTGATATCCGTCTTGCTTTTGAAAAATAAGAGTGAATCGTGATAGGTGGACAATGACGCGGAACCTGATCCCAGACTAACGTCTCGTGCCCCGTTTGAGTGTGTCTCAGCCTCATCTGCTCAGTTCAGATTTGGGCCTCATTCCTCTTTTTCTGTACTTTTTTTTCTCAGGCATACAGAAGGCTACAATGCACTCATTCGAGAACATTGTAGCCTTCTGTATACCTGATAACAGACCATACGGAGTTTACAGGTTGCTCCCGAAGTTCAGCGGCAAAATAGCCCGTTCATAACCACATATCTCATTTAAGTCCAGAAGGCTAAGGACTGAACGATATATCAGCCGTCATTGGATGTTTTTACCAACCTATTTCCCGTTCATACATTCATCATTTCGATGCAAATTAGTGATTTAAAAAAACAGACATCATTATTCACAAAATAAAGACGTACTGAAGAGTTCTTAATGTTACTTTCTCAATGTTTGTGTGCAGTTTAGCACCTTTCATAATGCTAAATGGGTTCGAAGCGAAACGAATCCTTTATTCACGGTCACCTGATTCTTCTTGTATACAAATGTTCGTAAATTATTTATTAGTTTTCCGTTTCGGTGATCAAAATCAAAGAATCGAGACAAAACACCGGTCACATTATAAATATTGCATCATTAAAAGGTTNAACGAACTAATTCGAAAGTAATTTTCATGAGACTGCTGTCTAATTGTTAAAAATTACCCCATGAACAATTAACTCCTTTAATAATGCATGCTTCTAACAATGCATGACTCCATTGTGAAAATGAACAATTCCCTCAGCAATACATGACTCCACTTAGATCGTTGATTGTAACAGGGTACGTTCATGCATAACAATTATCAGCGAAAGCTTTTCTATTGCACCTAGAAATATGGTTGAGTGATTATTGCGAATTGCTCCAATAACTACAATATTTTACCACACAATCGCATCAGGGAATACACATGCTTAATTGAACAGCAATGGAGGTGGTTTTGAAAACAATTCACTGCATGAATTGTATCATCATGAGTTGTATGATATGATTATATGAAGTTATATGATATTATATTATATGAAAGTAATTGATTCATTTGATCATATGCTCAGTTGCATTGGTAGAATGAGGAAGTGAGTAGAAAGTTAAGATAAGGGCGAGCCATATTCTCTTGTCTAGTGCAGTGCACACTCTATCAATTTTAGTTTTATCGGGAATGTACTGGAAAAGCACTTTGAGTGTACCGTTTGTCAAAATAGCTCTACGGTACTGTATGTCAAACAGTGCTTTTCGTTTTTCAATCGTTTGCGTGTTCAACGTTTTCTTTTGCATTCTTTCCAAGGTGGCATTTACCACTATCCTCGAAAGTGACAACATTGATGCGATTTTTTTCGGACTCGTTTTCTAATGCTTCCTTATAAGAGATCGTACCTATGTGGGGGTTGGAGAGGAAGTAATGCCAAGATGGGCGAACAAATGCTGTCAAAGGGAGGCTGAAGAGACGAAAACGAGATAATTTTAATTGGATGTAGGCAATACAATCATGTTTTGGAGCCTAGGATACGATTGTCATTAAGTTATAGGTAGGAGGAACATTCAGGAAAATAAGAAGATGGTAAAATGAAGACGTCAGGAAACCTATGATTCACTTAAAAGTAGTCATAAACGATACCTTGAATGTTTTTATCGTTTTGAACGTCATTTAGGTACGATCTTGGGTACACTACACTGTTATCATTATCATGAATTTTAACTGCGTGTAAAGTTATTCTTGAAAGGTCGAACTATTTCACTGACAACATACGTTCATTCTGGTCATTTTTGTAAAAGAATACTCCCCAATTTCATCACTATCCCTAAAATCAATCATCGATGAAAATTGATATGTGACTGCAATCATTTTTTTGTCGCCACACACTTCCTGAATGCCGTATATGTTTTTACGGTTTTTACTTTTACTTATCATCATCCTCAATGTTTTTTCCGTTTTTTTTTTGTTCTAAAGGAGAGTTTTCACTATCTTAAACTCCAAATTAAATGTACAATTTCTCATATTAAGAGTATCTTCAATTCAAAAGAACCACAAAAGTGACTAATAACAATAAAGTGACAGTTCATTTGCTTCCTCAAGAGAACATTATACCACTTATGCTACATTTGACAATCATTTATGCTACAGTATTCATCGACCATGATTTTGACTGCTTTTCATCATAATCTATCGTCGGTATATGTGGCCTATCGCTTCAGTGATTCAGAATTTACTGCATTCAGTTTGTCAATCGAGCAAATTTGTTTGCATCGGAATCAATCTTAAGTTACTTTTATATTCAATGCATCTATACTCTTGTAGTGCATTCAGTCTTCTTGGTGGTATCCGATTGAATGGTTTCAAATGTTACATCATCATTTCAATGACGTTTCTGCTTCAATTGCCGGTTTTTGTAAGATAACGATNTTTTTTTTTGAGTACTTCATTTTTCTCACTTCAAAATTTGTAAAAGAATTGTAGATGATGCGCTGCTATTCGTTTAATCTTACCTATTTCTAGTCATTAGTTTTTTTCGATTCATTCAATTTTAGTGCATTTCACTCAGTCATATGAAGTTGAATCCAATCTCGTAAATGAAAAGTTGATTCGTTGCAACTGAATTATTTGAATGTAGTGAGTGTTAGTCTCACGAAGATTTGCCATATCAACAGAATTGTTTGTGTATTGCATAGGACTAATTGATGCTCATTTCGGAAGAGGGACGTTGAGATAAAAGCGTATTGCTATTAATTAATCAATTTATGTTCTATTAATTTTCACTGCACTGATTTCGGTGAATAAGATTCGGTATGAAAACAATAGAAGTTCATCTGATCGCATTGAAAATTCCAACAGATACAGAACAAAAACACTCTGACTCTATAAACAATCTCACAGACGTGAAAATCAACAGTAATCTGACGAGTTTTTCGAGAAGTGTTGACTACACTTGAAAGTGCTGCGCGGCAGAAATTGAATTTACAATCAGCATCTTCACAGCAGGGGACGATTTCGTTCACACAAAGTTTATTTTTCACGGCTCTCATCGATGTTCGTTCGATTATCACAACTTTGATAGCATACTTTCACAGTCTACACTGCTGCTGCGACATCATCGAATAGCCGTGATATCGGCTCATTGTCATCCCTCTTGCGCTTCTCGCCCAGAGAATTTCATTTCATTCTCTCTTGAACTTTCCTGTTTGGTGAAAAACTTCTTATTGGAACAATGCCCTATTCTTCCCACGTTTCATGGTAATATTTTATTGAACTGCAGCATTGGAAAATATGAGAAGTCGCTGGGAGAATCTCATTTTTCAATCGTTAATCGAAAAATTCCTTGCACTTGCCAGTTTCAAGCATGAATTCGCTCAATGGGCGTATCACATTCCATTCATGCAAGCACACTGCGACTGTTTATCATCAACGAAAGCTCGCGTTGATCCTTCCAATGTTATCATTCCTCTTGGAATGTGCTGTTCTCTACCTCATCCACATTAATGCCATCAATTTTCCTCGATCATAAAATGACGCGTTCTTGAAATCACTATCACAATGTTCTTCGATTATAATGTTTGGAATGTTATGAAACGTTTTCATGTTCATCCAATTGAACACTTGCTTATGAATTCCTTTTTCTTCAACAATGAATCCCAATCAATAGCGCAATATGAAAAATCCAAAATATAATTTTCACATCTTCTCGATTTTGTTCAATTTTTACTATTTATGGTTTCTGCTATTAGATGGCAATTCGGTATTGAAATATATGCTCGCGATAAGCGTGAAAATGAGTCTCGCCAAAGGTGTTTTGCAGAATACACTGAGCTTTACATCAATTCCTAATTGTTTTCAATTAGCCTCTGAAGCTTTGAAATTTCAACTTATGCTCGAATGACCCTACTCAAAGATTCATAATTATTCATCCACTTCAGCCAGTAATGTGCAATTTAACTGTATGCCACAAAAACCGGTTAACGAATTTATATCGAAAGGAGGTTAGGATCACGAGCATATATCAGGCAGATCCGAAATAAGTTATGATCATATCACAAGTATNTATCATGGTTTTTCGATCATTAAATTAATGGAACTTGATCGTAGGGGTGACTCGAACAAATTTGTAGAAACTTGATCGTAGAGGTGACTCGAACAGCACCACTTTATGAGAGGGGTAAGCGATGAAGGTGACGTTAGAAATTTTCAAATCGTTACAAGTTTGCTATGAAAGTTTTGAAAGAATGTTTGATAACTGCTCGCAACAATACGTCAAACACGCAACTGAAACTTCTGGGCTGGTGCATTCTTCATAATCGTGCATGGCGCAACTTTCTGGAGTTGTTATAGGTACGATAAGATCATGAAATGTTGATAGTGAATTAGCGACAAGCTGTTTACAGAGTTCTCAGAGTCAGACTGATTTTGCTTCTTTCAGTTGTGTCAACAGGTGCCCGTATCCCGACGTGGCGTCGTCAACTACGAAGCCGTGTGTTTCGAACGACTTTATTGGTCGTAATTGCGCATGTGCTATTCTGGCTACCATATAACCTTTACGCTCTTATGCAGTATGTCA